ACGAATAACGTGTCGGTCGTCACATGTTCTCCAACATGTCTGTCATGTCTCGTGTTATAGATGGAGAAGTCAAATGTCTCCTCAAACATGGCGGTCGAGACTATTGCATGCACGACCGAAGACCTGTATGAAGATATATCGAACGTCATAGCAAGAGACGGCGCTCACAAGCAGTGCGTTCGCAGTCCTGGGACAGGGGTGACAGATAACGATACCAACCAAGAAAAGACGTTGCAAATGGAATCAGAGGAAATGTTGGCATTCATTTGCGTGGCTGCAAATGAGGACGCGGATAACGGCGAGGGGACAGGCAACGAAGACACTTCGATGTGCACGGTTATCAGTGACTGTATCACCAAGACTGAACGAGGAACGCAATTCCTCTACGATATCAACTGGGAGCCCGACAAGGTGCAGCCAGGCTTGAACGGGGGCAAGCACTGCCTCGCCTTTAAGAGCGGTGAAACATGGGTCCCTTATCCTCCGCCTAAATTGGCCACATGGAGCTACATCATGGCAGCCATTATTTTCGACCGATTGACAAGGCTGAATGACGGCGTCGCGCTTCCACATCTGATCAAATGCACGCATGTCCTTTGGGAGGCACTGATAGAAAATGGAGGGTTACGACTGAATGATTTATTTTACGATCGTGAGGACTGCTCCCAACAATGGGTGGTTTCTGACAGCACACGAGTTTGGGATGGAGTATGCAACGACAATGATGCAAGGCGGGATGCGTGGTGGGGTTGGGTGCCGTCAACCATTCCTTGTGAATATGGGGAGATAAAGATGCTTGTCCGCGATCTAAATGGGAACTGTTGGAGTACAGTTTATATAGATGGCGAGTTCTCGTCTCATTATTTGGAGTATGAGATGGCGGAGTCCTTTGATGTCGCGGCAGGGGAACCCCTAATCCCACTGCAGAACCCCGTGTTTTCGCCAATTGTAGAGGGGAAAGTTTTTTTGGGAGAGGACAATATTTGTCTGCGGCAGGTAAGAGGAAGGGAGGTCACTTATGATGGTTTGTTCGTTAACATATGGGACCCCGACAGGACAACGCCGGAGAGACTGCCTGATATTGACATATCTGGCACTGTTATTCCACAAATGGAGTTGAGCAGACATTCATCCGGGGAGATGTACGGGTCATGTGAATTGGGTACCCGGTGTCTTTCATCCTGCCATTTTTGAAAACAAAGTTACGATGGCTGCCAGACTGCGTTCAGGAGAGTGCGTACCTATGGGTTGGATGCCTTCAGGTGTTGTTGACCATTGGCATTTCATGGTTGTGCTGGCTCGTGTGTCGATATGCAATACAAGGGTGAATGACAAAGCGTTATTGTGCAAACATGCGAAGCTGTGTTGGGATAGATTGAATTTTGAAGACCGTCAGATGGTGTTGTGTGGATATGACGATCGTGAAGAGGAGAACATGTGGTCAATGCAGGGTGGTGGCGTTGGCGCAGACCCTTGTTCGGATTTTCCTGATAACTGTCTGAGCGTCATTCGCCGCAGACACGGGCGGTCAACACTTCTTGGATGGGTACCCGTTGTCTGTCCCATGCGTTATGCCAGCGGGGCAGACCTGTCCATGGAGTTTAGAGAACCTCTGGGTGTTCCGTTTTTTGTGACATACTCTGATGGTTTGTTGCGGCACATTGAGTACATGGTAGCGGAGGACATGAAGGGGAACGATTATAATGCGGGGAGTAAAGAACCTCAGTTTGAAGAGACGGGACAACCGGCATGTGAGGCAAACCAACCACCTGAAGACGCTCCCGGGGGATGTGACGTTGATGGACCGACTGCACACTCGGGTGCAGGACGTGCTGTTGTGGAGAAGAGCGCGCCAGTCACCGGCACGGTGTGCACAGATGGTAGCAGGCGGACGGGGCAAGGAACAAAGCAGAAGGCGACAACCAAACGCGACAACGGGGGGACAACGACGGTAGCAGGGAAGGGGGGGTGGGGCAGCAATGGTTGGTGGAAGAGGGAGAGGAAGGGGGAGGGGGCAGGGGGGGGCAGCAATGGATGGTGAGACAGGCGGGAAAATTGATGGGAGGCAAGGGCCGCCGAGGCGCAATCGCCGACCCGGAGAGGCTGTTGTGGCGGAGATGCGCCAACTGCAACGCAGCACAGAGCTTTGCATCCCTTACAAACCATTTATGAGGCTTGTGCGCGAGATTGTGCAGAAAGAAGAGGTTGCAACACAACCAATGCGGTTCGGGATGCTTGCAATTCGAGCACTTCTGGAGGCAGCTGAAGCCTATCTTGTGCATCTTATGGAGAGCACGAACGAGGTTGCAATCCATTCGAAGCGGGTGGCGATCTTGACGAAGGACATGAGGCTCGTTGACGCATTGCAAAAACCGCGTTGGTGTGTTTTTACCAAAGGCATCGTGGACGAGAAAGAGTTGATCAGACAACGACAGGAGAGGAGGAGGGCGAATGCTGATGACACAAACTAACAAGAAGTAGCCCCCAAGTCTGCCGAACAGCAGGGGAAAGGGGAGGCGAGGGGGGCGTCAAAGAGGAAAGGAAAGCCGGTGAAAAGCACGGCGCCTCAAAAAAAAAAGAAATGACATGTATGGAGGAAAACGGGTCTATGTTGTCTTCACAGGTGGGTGTGTGTGTGTGTGTGTGTGTGTGTGTGTGTGTGTGTGTGTGTGTGTGCGAGAGATCATGTGTTCGGGTGATAGATCCTGGATTTTTGTAATGTCGGCATTAACAATGATATCTGTACCTTCATTTTTTCACAGATCATGTCTCTCCTTTCAACATGACCGTGTTCCACTGCATGCGTGCCACAAACTATGACGAAAATTTGCAGACCCTTGTGTGCCGCTTCTCTTGTGTGTCTGCAATTCATATTTAGAGGGTGAGTCGGTGTGTGAGGGGGAGGGGGGGGGGAGAGGGACGGAATAGCTAATGCTGTGTGGTAATGACATTGTGTTTTCGTTTCGTATGTTTGTCCCCTTGTGCGCGTCTCATTGGCCGTGTGGACATCGGTGATGTATGGATGGTCACACTTGTTTATCGACAGAAAAATCAGTGAGTTTTCATGCAAGTTAACACTTCCACATAGAGTGAGTGAAAATTATCCTGATGCATCAAAAGTCACGAGCACATGTGCACAGACGCGTAGATGCAACTTCATGCAAGTGAAACATATCATCACAGAAACAGTAGCGCATACACGCACATGGACCACTATCGCCATCATTTGGTAAATGATGCAAACACACAGACATGTGAAAAAAAGAAAAAAAATAAATGTCTGGTTGCCAAGTGCGGTCCATTTCAACATGGACACTATCGCCATCATTTGGTAAACGGCGCCCAGTACCCAACCCTATTGAAAGGTTGGCCATACTGTAGGGATAGCTCATCTGAAGTGTTTGAAGCTCATCTAAAGGACTTGACTGTATTTGAGTCTTCGTCACTCTGTGTGAGTCTGTGTCAGTTCGTTCGGGTCTGTGATGACTCTGCTTCAGTCTGTGCGAGTCTGTGTGAGTCCGTGTATGTGTGTGTATGTCTGGGTGAGCCTGGGTGAATCTGTGTGACTCTGGGTGTGGGTGAGTGTGAGTCTGGGTGAGTCGGTGTGAGTCCGTACGAGTCCCTGCAGTCTGTGCCACTCTGTGATGAGTCTGGTTGCGTCTGTGTGATTCCGTCTGGCTCTGTGTGAGTCTGGGTGAGTCTGTGTAAGTTAGGGTGAGTCTGCGTGAGTCCATGTGGGTCAGTGTGAGTCTGTGTCAGTCTGTTAGAGCCCCAACTGTGTCCCTGCAGTCTATGTGAGTCTGTGTGAGTCTCTGTGTGAAAGTTTGAGTCTGTGTGAGTCTGGGTGACTCGAGGTGAGTTTGGGCGAGTCTCTGTGAGTCTGGGCGAGTCAGGGTGAGTCAGTGTGAGTCCGGGCGAATCTGGGTGATTCTGGGCAAGTCTGGGTGAGTCCGTTGGAGTCTGTTTCAATCTGTGTGAGTCTGGGTGAGTCTGTTTGAGTCTGGGTAATTCTGGGTGAGTCAGTGTGAGCCAGTGTGAGTCAGTGTGAGTCTGGGTGATTCTGGGTGAGTCAGGGTGAGTCAGTGTCAGTCAATGTGAGTCTGGGCGAGTCAGGGTGAGTGAAAGTGAGTCTGGGCTCGTCTGGGTGATTTTGGGCAAGTCTGGGTAAGTCGGTTGGAGTCTGTTTGAGTCTGTTTGAGTCTGTGTGAGTCTATGTGAGTCAGTGTGAGTCAGTGTGAGTCTGGGTGAGTCTGGGTGAGTCCGTGTGAGTCGGTGCTAGTCTGTAGCAGTCTGGGTGAGTCTGTGTGAGTCTGTTTGAGTTTGTGTGAGTCTGTTGGAGTCTGTTTGAGTCTGTGTGAGTCTGAGTGAGTCTGTCTGAGTCTGGGTGATTCTGGGTGAGTCAGTGTGAGTCAGTGTGAGTCTAGGTGATTCAGGGTGAATCTGGGTGAGTCAGTGTGAGTCTGTGTGAGTCTGTGTGAATCTGTGTGAGTCAGTGTGACTCTGGGTGAATCTGTGTGAGTCTGTGTGAGTCTGTGTGAGTCTGGGTGAGTCAGTGTGAGTCTGGGTGAGTCTCTGTGAGTCTGGGTGAGTGTGTGTCAATCTGTTTGAGTCTGTGTGAGTCTGGTGAGTCTGTCTGAGACTGAGTGATTCTGGGTGAGTCAGTGTGAGTTAGTGTGAGTCAGTGCGAGTCTGGGTGATTCTGGGTGAGTCAGGGTGAGTCACGGTGAGTCAGTGTGAGTCAGTGCGAGTCTGGGCGAGTTAGGGTGAGTGAGAGTGAGTCCGGGCGAGTCTGTGTCAGTCTGTTTCAGTCTGTTTCAGTCTGTGTGAGTCTGTTTCAGTCTGTTTCAGTCTGTGTGAGTCTGGGTGAGTCTGGGTGAGTCTGGGTTGTGTGAGTCTGTTTTAGTCTGTTTCAGTCTGGGTGAGTTCGTGTGAGTCGGTGCCAGTCTGTAGCAGTCTGGGTGAGTCTGTGTCAGTCTGTTTCAGTCTGTGTGAGTTTGTTGGAGTCTGTTTGAGTCAGTGTGAGTCTGGGTGAGTTTGTGTGAATCTGTGTGAATCTGTGTGAGTCAGGAGGGCCATATCAAGTGTGTTGCATTGCTTCTGTGAAGGTGAAATTCATGTTATCAGAGAGAGACAAAGAGAGAGAGAGAGAGAGAGAGTCCCTTTGAGGGTGTTGTTGAGAGGCCGAAACGTTCGCCTTTGCCATTCCGTGCCATCTC